CGACTGGGTCGGCAATGCCGTCATACTCCTTCAGATGGGGAGGCTTTTCCATGCCCGGGGGGATGGGTGATTCCATAATAGCTTGTGACAAGGGACCGCGGGGGTCGTCTTCGTCACTCCTGTCTGGCGAGCGAGAAGGAGATCTGTTATAGTGGTGGTTACGATGGTGGCCCTGGTCGTGCGGAGCGTTCCTCTGGCGGTGTGATCGTTCGTTATTTCCCTTGTTCCTGTTTTAAGGGGGTCTTTGATCTTGACGAGGGGATGTGATCGCGTCTCCCTGTATCTACGGGCTGGTCCCTCTCCAACGCGGGGCGTCGCTCGATTGGTCGGGGAGAGGGGCTTTGAGAGACTTCCCACCCGCGTCTCTGCGGGGGAGATTGGGGACGTTCCTCTATCTGGTAAGGAGGAGGGGACTGAGGCCTCATATGTCTTCTAGGGGCTCTCTGAGCATCTTCGAGCGCCCTCAATCTCTCTCCTTGAGGGAAGATCAGAAAGTTCATTTGGTTTATCATCGTGAACAGGGCCCTGGTCGTGGCATCTGCTCAGGCGAGAACAGGCACCTCCTGGAACTGGTTGGGTTGGTAGTTCTGAGGAGGTGGCTAATCGTCTTCGAGTCATCGGGGCAGTGACGATGATGAGGCAGTCAACCTGTCTCTGTATTCTGATAGGCCAGGTATGCCAATGTGGTCGGAGTTGATGTCGTTACCGGTATTGAGACCAATGGGAGCAGCGTTATGGCCAACAGGACCAGTGTTGTTGACGTCGGTGTTATTATCGGCGATGTTATTGCTGGCGTCGTCCAGACATAAATTCATGTCATTTTCTGTTGTTTGATCAGCCATGATAGTCAGATGATTGCAATTAGCTTTAGTCTTGTTTGAATGGAAGACGGGGAAGCAAGTTTCCCACAGACAACGCCACTGATCTTACCTGATCATAATGGACCGTCACAGCTAGCTCGAGCAGAAGTTGAGAGTGAGATGGGGGTGGTATCTTCAAGACACTTCGATGCCAAAGTAAGTTTCAGAATGAGCAAGCAAGTATGAGAGTAAGAAATGTTCAATATATGACCCTCTCATAAGAGAGGATATTTATAGCCCCAACACTGGGTCAAGGTCTCCTCATTGGGCTGGTCAAGCAGGCCCAACATGGAGACTGCTAGGTCCTACGTGAATAGTGGGGACTCGCATGTGATCCCCTACCTGGATGACTTCCTCCGCAAGATCAGGAGGATGTGGAAGCAATCTTTCCGGAACTATGAAGACTCCGTGACCTCGGAGGCATTGATAGTCAGTCCTACGAGGAGTATGCTCGTGAGGTGCTTCTGCTCGCTGGGGATACTCCCACTGATCGTGAGGTCGTGCGATAGAACCATTATTGGTCGAGGATAGAATTGGAGCGTGACCTCGAGGTCCTCCTGACCGGTGATGATCTTCCTAAGAGTAACAGGGTTCATCCTCATGCAGTGAGGTTGTCTCCTCGCGGGGAGTAATTGTTGTCTGACGCAGTTGAGGGCAAAACTATTTCAGTATACTTTAAACGACATAATTAGATTGGGCCTCACATGATATTGGGCCAAGAGCATACCCAATCCAAAACAAGATCATTAATAAAAAACAAAAAAAAAAATTAATATTTTCAAAATTTCTAGCAACTAAACTAAATTAACTTCAATAAAAAACTTAAAAATAAACCATAACACAAATAGAACCAAAATATTATCATGACTACTTAGAAAATTGTTGGTAGCCTTAAACATGATGTTCTAATATAACCTTCCAACCTTTTCTTTCATTACCCCTACTCAATACTCTATTCTCTAAAATTCTTTATTGGAATGATGAAACACGTGTAGAATGTGTAAACATCACAAACAATAGATTTGGATAAAATTTGAAGTAGGGGTTAAATTTAAATTGTCTCAATTAACTATTTTCAAAAATTAAAAATTGAATTACTTTTTTTTGTAAAAAAAAAAATTGGATTACTTTTTTGAGAAACCATATTAAATTCTAAAATATTTATTAGAGACGCATGAATTTACTCCACAAAATTCAGGTTTATGGTGTGACTCATATTTTTAAAATTCAAAATTGTTATTAAAAATTTTCGAATATTTCTGAGATGAATTTAGAAATGCTCTTTTAAAAGTTCATTTCGAATATGCATCTTCAAAAACTTCTTTGCATGCATTTTGGACAATAATATTGTCTAAGTAATATGAAATGGAATCGGAGAAAACAATGTCCCGGTGAGTGGATATAGTGTCCAGTCGATATCATCATATTAAGTCATGTCAATATAGACACAGAACGATCACACAACATCATTCTTTCTGTGTGGGCAATACATGCAAGCACATGAATAGTCCTATGTACTTTAACACACAATCAAACTTGTGTATGCGGTGAAAGTGGAATATGATCCATTTTTAAACCGAATAAAAAAAAACATTAGCAACAAGTGTAAAAAAGTGCTTTTAAAATTAATTGTGGCTATGAAAATTATCGTCAATATGGTGCAAGAGCATGTCACTTGTTTTGTCGTCTAAAGAGAATCTTCACTCATCTTGAAGTACAAGTATACCAAGATGGTGTCCCTCCCCCAGCTCCACTAGTAGATGGCCGACAGGCCGATGAAATACTTAAGATATATCACATTGACATAGATTTCACTTTTATCCGCAAACATGGACGTGCCAACCAAGAATATAAGGAAACACCTCAAAGTACACTTCTGATGGTAGATAACTTATAGTTCATCGTCTTCAGCATCACCGGCCAACTCTAAATTTTGTTCATAAAGCTCATTCAAGTAAGAAAATTTGGCATGAGCACATATGGTGTTCTCACGCTACATTAGCTCCTCCGTTGGATTAACTCCCAAATAATTGACCATCATCTCGTTTGATCTTAGAATGATCAAATAACTTCCTCCTGATGGAAAGGTGTAGAAGACAAACGATACCAACTAGTGTAATCGTCATCTCGCTAATAAGGATGTGAAAATCTGACATTTTTTCATGCCATCTCTCAGCAAAAACCTTTTGCATGTCATGGCTGATAGTCTTGTACCCGAAAGAACAGACCGGCAAGACTGGAGTATTTGATGACACATTGGAACCAATCATCTTTAGGTTGATAAAGATTGTGCATCTTTCTGATGACGTTAACAGACTTCAAACAACTACGCTCATGTTAAAAATAAAATATAACAATAACAGTCACAACGAATTTATTTAAAACGTAAAAATAACAAATGTTAACAAATATATATCTTCGACTCAGACATGTCGAACAACACGGTCTCTATAATATATAAGTAAGGCGGTGTCAGAGAGCCCTCCTGGATAAGAATCTGCAAGTGGAAGGACATCATCATGTACAACAGGAGATTCCTCCTGGTCTACGTGAGTCTGAGATGAGGATTCATGTGACAGGAAATTCCTAGAACTTGATGTTTCCCCATCACGAGGCCTAGAGACGGTTCTCCGCCTAGCTCTGCCTTGTTCATTTTGAAGAGCCCTATCGCGATGAGCGGACGCGGTTAGAGTTTTACGGTCGAATCTCATTATGTCGTTGTTGTTTGCAGTCATTCTCCTGAAAAAACGAGAAAAAGACATCACTTTGCAATTCTGATCATTTTCGGATATGCATCTCCGAAAATAAAAAAGGACCAATTTGAAGATGCATCTCTAAAAAAACTCATGTTCGCATCAATGGAAGAAACAATTATCTCTCTTATCCTAACAACCTAAAATGCAACCAAATCATAGTACATGTGTGTAAGAGCTACCTATTTTGAATTCTAATACTACCTATTACATTAAAAATAAACTATTTTACTTAATACATTAATAAATAAAAAATTAAATAAAAAACTTACTCAAAAAAATGTCTGTGATAAACTGTAAAAATGAAAAAAAGGAATTGCCAATTTGAAGTAAGGACAATTGTTCTAATTTAATTTTGTCAGGTTGAATTATTTTTCCAAGAAACATACTAAATTATTTATTGAGAAATGATATATATACATCCAAATTTGTGTGTTAAAAATATGTCCTTTATAAATTTATTGAATATAGTGTATTTTTAAAACTTGTACAAGTGTATGAGATCAAAATATAAGAGAGACCTTAATATATAGTTAATATATGGTATCAAATTTTTAGTGTTTAAATAACACTACATATTTATTAGGACCACAATGAGTTCAACTCCTATTTTTATAACCTCCAAACTCACCAATAAGTATAACTGATAGACATGACTCACAACTTCAAAAAAAAATATTGAAATTAAATATTTGTATGTATAATTATAATTTTAAGAAGACAAATTCTTTACCCATCACAAAAAATTGGATAATATAATTTCAACCAATCACATAATATTAGTTAATTTTAGCATATTTAATTATTTATTAAATAACATGATTTTTTTTTTGTTATTTTTAAAGCATTTTATATTAAGAGTAACTTACCCAACTTTTTAAGTTAGATAAATAAGAATGGATAATACTACCATGTGCTTTTACATGTCAAAAATATTTTTTGTTGGAAATTGTGTATTGTTTTAGTTAAAAGTTGATAATTATATTTTCATTACTTTTTCCAATACAAAATTTTCACTTTTAGATTTCTTAACATGTGCTACACATGTTAGCATTATCCAATAAGAACTCGCCTAATTTTAAATATGTGCATAAGACAAAAGAAAGACCAAGAAACTTGAGCAATTTATGCTGTGATATTACAAAAGGGACCAAAACCCTGAAATACTTGTATCAAAAGTAAACTATAGTAAACTGGTAAATAAAAAATCATGTAATCAACCCATTTCACACATCACATAAAATTTAACATGTGTTTGGTAAACTCTTCCTAACATTGTACAAATGTACAATTTGTACAACCCTATAACTCATTGTTACAACTCCTACCTAGTTAAAGCTATACCCACTTTACATAAGTTAAAGAAAAATACAGATAAAAAACTTGCTCAGGAATCCCAAAAGACATTAGTGTCACTGCTATACAATGAAAGATCTTGTATTTCCTGGTTAGCCACATGACAATCAATAAGACGAGCTTGAATTATTTTGCAGAGGAATAGACCAGAAGGAAGCATCCACCATTCACTTTCATCCCTGTATTGCCCATCACCATAGCAGAGGTTTAGAGAAAGTTACCAAATAGTCACAGCAAATAGGTACTGTCAATTTTCATTGTGATAAAAAAACAATTCTTTGCTACTTACATACTAAAACTCCAGGATTGAATGTTGGAATGCTTGTCATGTGAATGAACTATATAATGAATAAAACCACAAATGAAGGCAACTACCTGTTACAAGAGACCCGTTTCACAGTTAAGGTTAAAACAAATGCCTGAGATAGTGAACGAGCTTATTTGACATCACTTGAAATAGAAAATAGAAATATAATGAAAACTATGTACTACATACTCTCATGATCTATGTAACACTGACACTTCACATTAAAGGTGTGTGTAGTGTGTGGTGTCCGACACCAACACAACACTGGCACATGGTTATATTCAATTTTTTTTTTTTAAATCAAATTATTACGAGCATTAACATAGTGTTGAGACATGTCCCGTAGTCGTGTTAGTGTTTCATAGCTCATGGCCTCATGCTAAACTTTCTTGACTCAGACATGTGAAGTAGTTAGGTGGAAAGGCTAGTTAGAAGAAAGTTCATGTTTAGAACAACTTACAACATTGACTAGGGAGGTCAGATTCCACACAGCATATAGCCGTGCAAGGCCAGCTGATCTCCTAGGTCCTGGACTAAACAAAGCACTGATTCCAGATGGAAATGGAAATAACATACCAAGAGGGAGGACAAATAAAACTAAGAAGAAATTCACCAGCGACAGCGAGTACATCTGAAGTAATGTAAGCAACACTAAGATGAAATCTCCAAGGAGTAATATAGATATAAACAGACCAACTAGATCCTGCAATGATACAAAAGAGGGTTGGAAAAAACCGATCATGTAGACGTGCCAGGTTTTATAAAGACTGGATGTAGTGCAGTTAACAAGGGAAACATCATAATACCTGATGGCCAACAGGTTTTGTATTATACATAATTAAAGCAAACGGATAATATATACTTTTCCTCTCTTTAAGCGTTCTTAGAATCTTGCCATTCAATATTCCACCAGACATCCTTCTAGGCATCACCAAGTGATCATTGCTTATCAAGTAATGCGCTGAATTTTCGGGACTTCTAAGAAAACTGCACACAACAAAGTATAAAAGGTTATTAAACTTAAATTTGTAAAATATTTAACATAACAAACTGTTAGAAATAAAATATATGAAAATATCACATAACAGTACCAATATCTTGTAGGATTAGTTTCTTATCTCTTTAAGATTAGTTTTCATATTTGTTTCCCGATTTCTTTATTTATTAGCATTCAAGTCTTGTATTAGTATAAATAATGACTAGTGCTTAGTCTTTTGTATCCAGGTATCAATTGTACAACACCATAATTTTATCCCAAAAGTCTTTATTCTTTTTCTTTTCCTTATTTTACATCTAAATCCAACTTCAACAAATATGATAAGTTAGCATTACCCAGACTGCTTTTCGGCTACTCTTGAATCATCATAACCTTCTCTTGAGGATGACATGTTTTCATTCTCGGTAGCATGTACAACAATCCCAAATTGGCAATATCCAGAAGCTGTAGGCTGACACAATGCAAGATCAACACGTACCCCATAAGAAGCCAATTTAGGATTTGCATATACATCAAGCCAGCTAATAACAGGTCCAAAAGTTATTTTGAGATGTCCGCGGCGAACTAAGCGTAGTTGAGCATTAAGACCAGCCACTAATCGATACCATATAGTTGATGGAACAGACTAAGAAGCAGACATAAATAACCGGTGAGCTAAATAAACATCCAGGAGTATTTATCAACAATTCAACATTCAACATAAAAGCTAATTTTGAGAAAAAGCAAACCTGACTCATGATACTGGTAAGAATATTATCACTATGAAGAGAGAAAGGACTTATGTAACTTCCATCCCCACCAAAAATTATAGACATGGGAAATCTTTGATGAAGACGAGGAGGAAGATCAGATCTTTTCTCATCTCCACCAAGAAAGAAGTCCATATATGCCAGCATCATATCAGATGTTGCAGCTACCTGAGACATGATAGATTCATAAAGTAACTATGCTGGTGAATACCTTCAAACTATTCAAACAAATCATACTCACTTAATGTGGCAAAGAAAAAGAATATAGAGAAAACAACAAAAAACCTAAATGTTTAACAGTGAGGAAAATAACGAGCTATTGAGGAAGTATTTACAGAAAATTGAAAATTATATAAACATACTAAAATCATATAAGCTAAATTCACTCATGGGAAGTAATGAGTGGTTTGAGGCATAAATGTAGTAAACCAGGATCCATTAGGGTAAGGGAACAAATCCGTAAAAGTAAATCTAAAGTACCTTCAACCCTTCATAGAGTGCTCGTGAACGGCAAGAGCGCAAGCAGGCATGATCATACTCTGATCGAACAAATTCTCGAAGTTTCTGTAGTTTCTTTCTCCGGCAGCTTTGCAGCCATGACCAAGCAAGGGGATATGCAGAGACACAAAGGATACTATATATAGACCCTTCCCACCATTGATAAGTAGCTAAACTATTAATCTCATCCACAAATCTATTGAAGGCATCTTCGTATCTGCAACACGAGGTAATATATGTAATAGTTAAAAGATCAATTTTAATGCATAACATAAACTAAAACATGCTGCACATTAATTACACAACTAAATACTGTATTTGTGGACACTAAACGAGGATCCGCTATCTTTTAGGGAGACATACACAATATCTTTTACTTGCTCTGGAGGACAATGAGGAAGATGCCAAGGTTCGCTGAATGTATTTGGGCCTTGGAAGTATAACCTATGCACATGACTTGGAGATTCCTCACTTCTATTTGTTTCAATAATCTGAAATATCACAGGGATACAAAGTTACAATCAACTGTAATGTTGAACCAAGGTCTTAAGGTAGCAAGTATCAAAGAAATTCACATGGAAGGAAGTTGGTTATGGACCTCATTCAGTGATTCCAGAAAGGGGAAAGAGTGGTTCAGCCGAGTGTCATTTCGAGCAGGCGCAAGGGCTGGTAAATCATCCACAGCTACACATTTCATTCGTGCAACACTGAGAACTATAGCTAGCACAATAAGGAGGCCTAAAAGAATAAGACCAAATATCCATGGTCCGCCAAAAGTGTATACCAACTCTTCAAAAGCTGTATAACAGTTTGGCATGTGATATCTATCAGATGTGCACTTGTATGGACAAGGAGTCTCTGCCACACCACCTTTTGAAAAGGAAATAGGAAATCTAATCAAATTGAAACCTTTTAAGTATACGTGTATACAAAAATAAATGTCTTTATTCTTCATTTCAGGTGGGATGAAGTAAATTTCAGTAGTAAAATTACCTCGAACAGAAATATATAAAGCACGGTGTGGAAGCTCATGAGACGGGCAAGTATGACAGAGGGCTCTATCAGACCCACTGACATTTTTGTATGTGCCAACCGGACATTCCTGTAACATGTAATTAAAATGCAAGCAAGTCTAAGAAACTGAAAACTGCCTTCAAAACTTCATCTCAACTATAAATACAAGTAATCTCATTATCTCACAATATTGGTAAAAAAAATGACCAACAGCAATAGACCACAAAGAACTGAAATTTGTGATGTCATTCACCTAGTTTTCTAAAACCAATTCCAGCTTCGCAAATAATTATAGTGAATTGTAAAGGATTATGGTTCATCTACCTCGCAGAAGATACCATAAAGCCCTTTGGGACACGCTTTTCCACTGATAGATCCATTTTTTCCAGGAAGACCCTGACCACCACCAAAACCGCCTCTGAAATAAAAAATAAAATCTCAACCAAATTGGTCTGGATAGATGAAAATTTATGCACACATGTAGATTCACACACATTTACATTAGCTAAAAGCAACCCAAAAATAGAGTTGAAAAGTATGGACAGAACCTTCTGAATGAGATATGTTAATTATAAACTGCCAAGTTCTTGTAAAAATTACTCGCATTGAATTTTTTTTTAAATGTGATCGGCTAGATGACACAGATAAAACAAAAGCATAGCTTTTAGTTTACAAAACTAAAATCACAAACTCTAATTAAATTTAAGCAAAATTGCACATAACTGTATAATTATGTGATTACAAAATTCCATTACAACCCCCTGACCAATGAGAAAACCTTAAAATAAGTCTAGTTGTTGCACAACCAATCTTCTTACAAGTTCAAGGGCTCTACTTTATTTCCAGGACTCACCTACTGTATAACACATTCAAGTATACATCATTTTATCAAAGAAGAGTAACATTAATTGGTCTCCAGTTAGAGAGACCTGTTGACTTAAACCAAGAAGTCATAAGCCAAACTAAATCATATCCAGTACCTATACAATGTGATTCCAAATATTAATTTAACTGTCACGAATTAGCTTCTAACTCAGAATCAAATAAATCATGAACTAGGTCAATCAAACAAGTCTTTACTAACAGATGCATAAAACAGATGTAGTAGAATATAGCATAAATTTTTGTATACCAACCCAGTAATAATGCTTCCCTCAACACTCGCTAAAGGGATGTATTCATCCCCAACTGGAACATTAGACCAATGAAAGTGAACCCTTCCACCACCTCCACCCCCGCCCCCACTAGGACTTCCTTGTCCTCCAACTGTTGATATCATGGAAGAGTCACGAAGAGCTAATGTCTGAACAAACAAAAGAACAGTTCCCCCGGAGCCTCCACCAGGGCCAATGCTTGAAGCCCTACCATCCTGCTTTCTTATGTCCTCTCCAAAGGATTCTCCATCAGATCTAAGTGATCCATTCAAAGTCAAATGTAACAATGAGTGCTCCAACGAACCCATCACTGTCAAAGTCATGATGATAATTATATAAAATCACTTTTTGTGCCTACGAAGGTTAAGAAACAACAATATGTTCTGCTACAACCAAATTTTAATTCAGATCTTACCAATAATGCCGCCACCTGCAGTTGCCCCGGCTATGCTATCATTTCCACTGCCACTACCAAGTTCACATGGTAAATCTGCATCTCCATATATGGTACCTCCTTCAATGAAATTGCCATTGTAATACCCATCTCCACCATATCCTCCATGCCCACCACCACCACCAATACCATTTTCGAAATATCTTCCTTTGCCCAACCCTCCAATACAACCTGCAAATGGTTTAAATACTTTTAATATAGCATCATTAAAGCATTGAAATTGCACAACCCCTCGAGCAATACATGAAATTCTCTATGGGGGTTGTATTTAGAGGGAAATGACAATATACCTAGCCCAGATGCACTGATTACTCCAGAGTATTCGACCTCTACACTTCGAACCCAGTGAAAGTGCAGAACAGAGCCAGTTATGGTACCTTCGACACTAACATCTTCAACTCGACATATCTGCAACAGCAACACAAGACAATTACTATCGGTGATTAGAAAGATATCTCACGGGTACAAAGATTAAATATTAAGGAAGCTAATGAAAAACCTGAAGAGTGAAAGCCAATGAAGAATTCACATTACAATCTTCAGGAGGATGAAGCAATTCAACAGGGCAATTTTCATGTTCACAGTAGAGTTGCGGTGTACTTGTCCTGCCATTTTACACAATGAAAACAAGGTATTAAACGAAAAAAAGAACCGCATGCTACAACTTTCTGTCTGATTAAAGTTAGCATAAACTTACATATTATCATCACCGGAAGCCTCCAAAGGACCTCTTAAAACAGATCCAGGTCCAACCTTTACATTTCAAAGATGACAATTATTTAGTTAATACAAACATAATAATACTGTTAGAAATCTTAAAGGTCGAGAAATCAATTTTAAAATCCCAAGCTGCATATAAGTTATGTTATATATGCTGATTCTTTGTGTGAGCATACATGGCACCCTTATTTCCATATATTAATAAGTTTGTTGTATAAATAGTTTTAAAAACATAAACAAACTATTACAAAAGAGAGACATGTTTTCCTACAGTCACATCAGTGGTTACGCAGAAAATATACGCCATGCACTACAGCCAAAAGGGTCACAAGCTAAATCCTCTAAACCAACAGTTCACAAAACACCCCTCAACTCCTAGTAAGGCTAGTCATAGAGGAAACATAAAACCAAATGAAACATACTTCAACACAGACACCTAACACGACATAGACACGTTGACACTGCGAATGTAAAAAACATAGGACTACGTATATGATAGTATTTGATCTTCATGGATAACACATCTTTAACCTTTTTAGATGTGTTTGAAATTTGTCCAAAGAATGTATAAGGTGTGTTTGGGAACACTTGTTTGAATTGTCCGACACCTGTTGTATGAGTGTCATTCGCATACGGGTGTTGGACATTGATTCCAAGAATGTTGAAGCAAAGAAAGAAAAAAATTTGAGACACACTTGTCTGAATTTTCTGACACGTGCCGTACAGATGTCATAGCCTAATCATAGTGGTGTCCATGCTTCATAAACATAACTTTTGCCTAGAATATTAACATATTGGCTCTGTTTGATAAAAATAGCGGTTGACTGATAAGCTAGTTGATAGCTTATAGCTTATGACTGATGGCATGGTGGCTAATAACTGATTGCTTATAGCTAATGGCAGGTGACTTATAGTTGATAAGCTAATTGAAGTGTTTGGTAAAATTAGCGGTTCAATTAGTTGTTATATTAAAATGACATAAAAGAAACCAAGTAGCTTATTCTCCAGTGGTAATCTGGAGAATATTGGGTTCAATTCTTAGTGGGAACAACGCTTGGCCGGTGCTCGGACCTTCGATGCACGAGCCGGATAAGTCGACCCACTAAGTGGGTCGGAAACCGGTGTGAAAGCCCAAACAAAACAAAAATAATAACATGAGAAACAGGTCTTTTATTATCATATATTTATAAGCTATAAGCTCAAAAACTGTCTTGCCAAACAGAGCCATAATCTCTTAATGTGGCACTAACCAATTCAACACTAACTCAACTTTAACCTGTCAATTTTGGCAGCACCTAGATAGCCCTGGTTTGGTCTTTATCAGTTTTATTGCTGATACACTTGCATACAAAACATCACACAATAAAACTTCAACACCCCCAGTGGCAGAGCTTGCCTGATAAATTTTAGGGGTCCACGTTATAATCTGTATTAAGTATTAACTGATATTTAATGCACATAACAAAATTCGCAATCTTATCACTTATTTTTACATCGTGTGCGCAGTTCGAACCTTCTCATCGCATTTTTAAAAACAACACATTAATAATACTCTAACTGGTAACAAAAGAAATAGCAACCACCGGGATCGACCACTGAACCATCTACTCACAAAACAGACTTGCCACTACGCTAATAGATACAATTGATATTTGGGGGGAGAGTATGTAATATATAGATAAAATATTTTTCCTAAAGAAGTCCTGTGTCTTAACACGCCAAATTTGCAACCCTTTTATATCACAATTGCTTAAACATTTCAATTGCTTAAACATTTCAATTGCTTTTTTTTTCCCTATATTCATAATTCCAATTTTAAATAAAAAATATCCCATCTTAAATCTTCAATCTACCTAGTTTGTCACTTCCTAACATTATCAAACCCTTAACAATGTTTAGAGGCTCACAGGACTTCAGCTGCCAACCTAAATTCACAATACCAATTACCAAATACCCCAACAAATAGAACTGTTAATATTACCAAAGCCTTTCTACAAGAACATCCATCAAAGTGACCCTTGTGACCTGCTCTTGTTTCATATCAGGTGTGCATATTATGTTGATGTGGAGAAAGTGAACAATCTTTAAAATAGCCAATTATATATTATAAATAAACCGCAAGAGAATTTCAGTCTCTGACTTACACTGATGCTATAAAATAGTGACAAAACAAGATGTTGTGCTTCAATCAAATTTCCAGGTCCAGACAAGTTCAAAAAACCTTGGCCGTGAACTCCCAAGTTTGCATTAGAATGAATAATAGATGAATCCTGGTCACCACCACATGGTTAAATGTGTTACAGTGTAAGCAATAAAATTTAGGTTCTGCTTTAAATATGAGAAGAAGCAGCGGATAGCATAACTACCTTCAGAACTACTAAGTTGCTCGCTTCAAGTATGGATGTTGTAATAATTGAATCATCATTAGCATCAATAAGTATCTTGGAATTCAACATCAGGTGAATCTTTACAGACATACGAAGAGCTCCAAATATCTAATTGAAAAACAAGGAACAGTTAAAGAACATGAAGAGAAGTTTTTTTTCTTCAAATAACCAACCCGTATTAATGTTCAACCGTGAAATAATATTAATGCCTCTCACAATTAGGCAATATGAGGAATTTTAGTATAGGAAATGGTTTCTAGCAAAAAATGGGGGGAGGGGAAGGTCATTAATTTGTACATAGCTAAGCAAAAAAAGGAAGCAAACAGGAAACCCAAGTAAAGAAGTACTATGATACTATCATTCCATGAAAAGTAAGCCTCTTATAGTTCTGCTTACTTTGATCACAGAGTCACTCATCAGAAGCTCTTCTGCCATCAACTCAAACTCTGATGAGCCATAATGAGCAAGCCCAAAGCCTAAAGCAGCTCCAGAGGTCAAACGAATTAGTCCACTGACCTGCAAGTTAATGAAATATAAAATTTCTGCAATACTTCAAACTCAATAACTAAGAAATATTAAAAGCCATAATTTATAACGCTCCAAAACGAAGTAACCTAAACTTACTCTAAAAGTTCTAATAATAAATAAAAAAATCAAAGTCAATTAGTCTATATTATTGCATACCATTCATGATAATTATTTCCTTCAAACAAAAAGGCGATCGGTAATCCTCCAAATTCAGTAGTTTAAAGCTCTTAAAATTCCAACAATTAATTGTGGATCTTCTCAATGATTTAGGGGAGCCAGGCTAGCTGAATTTTTTTCTTCGTGTATTTAAATATAGAATGAAAGATAGGTTATATATAACATAGAATGAAAGATAGGTTATATATAACATATTTGCGACATATAAGAAACATACGGTACCTCGGTGGCTAAGATGGTCTTATATATCCACTTGCACCTAGGTTCGATTCCACTTCCGTACAGTTTCTTTTTCGCATATCTATTTATATTTTATTTTTTTGCTCTAAAACTATGTTTAAAAAAGCTACAGGGTTCAAAAAAATCATCCAAGCTTAGCCGCGGCCAATAATAACTAATTGTCTGCAGCTGAATGGTTTATAAATAGTTCACTTTTGTCTTATATGGGTTACACTAATATTACACTTTTCCCTTCTTTTTCGAACAGCCAATGCACTATTCCAACAAGCACAATAAGCTAAATTTTTCAATCACCTGAACACGGCTCCAGTATAAAGGAAACAATGCCTTGGCCTGATTCTGGATATAAATATTTGTCCAAAGAGGCGCCTTAGGAAACTCTAATATAAGTGTATCAGTTTGTGTGGACAGATTATGATTGCAAATGGTAAGACTGCGAGGAACAGCATCATAATATGTCCCTGCAGCACCTGCGTTGCCAGCACATCCAAGACTGACTCCTCCTACAAGCAACAGAAAAAGATTTTTTATAGCATGAATGGAGTTATTTTTTGTAATAATCAGTCACCTATTAGACGGAAAAAATAATGAAATATTAATGACCATATCACACCATGACTGAAGAAATTTGTATTGTCGTGTCTGCTGAAGACGTGGATAGAAATTCTTCCTCCCCCGCCACCAGCAAACCCACTACCTCCAATAGCACTAATTCTGCCACCTCCGGTCCTGCAGTTAGAAGAGGACATGATTAACTGTGTCCTGTCTTATTTAATTAGCTCAAGCAATCTGAAATTACATAGAAAAAGGGAATAACGGAAGCTCAATAGTACTTAATCTATTTGTACATTGGAGACTATAGTCGATTATATGCAATGATACAAGTGCATCCACTCTGGGTGCATAGTTAGGATGGGCTGGAGTCATGGCACCCCTAAAATTTTCTTCTTCTTGGATATATAATGCAATATAAGTTTTATATTATATGTATACATTTAATATTACGCTTCCGTGTATTTGCAAAAATGTTGCGGTAGTTCAGTGGCAAAGTAAATTACTTTACATCCTCGGGGTAATGGGATTGATTCCTTGCATCCATTTTGGGTATGATTTTGAATAGAAATCTAAGTGATAAGAGTCAAACTCAATACATCAAGTTAAAAAGGATGATAGTCTTTTTTGAACTTAGTGTATCATTTTACCCCATCTATCCCTAGTACAAGATTGAGGGCTCTGTTCAACCTTTCCTAGAAGGTGGGGGGAGTATACACTTATGATGCTGGACTAGATGTGGTTAAAAAATTGGATTAATTATCAGAAGGAAAAAAAACTAACTTTCCAAACCACTTTGCCACAAAAACATTCATGCAATTTTTGAGAACTCGTTTAATATGGTCAGTGTGGTCAATTGCAATTCGCGGGAAATGGCAGTTTGTTCAAATTCTGCTATGCAAACACGCTATAGCGCCCATCATTTAATACTAATATTTTGTACTAAACAGCATATTGCCATCATTTCATACTAATATTTTGTACTAAACAGCAATTACTAATATTTTGTACTAAACAGCATATTGCCATCATTTCATACTAATATTTTGTACTAACCAGCAATTACTAATATTTTGTACTAAACAGCATATTGCGGAGCGGAACAATAACGACTATTTAAAATTCCCCACCACTGATTGCCGTTCTGCAAACATTTATTAAAGGTTCCACACCAGAAACAAGAAAGAAAAACAGCAAAATCTGCTTACAGCTCCAAGCACACAACACAGTCAATCAATCTATGCAAATTACATACTCACCAATCACTTTCTACAAATCATAAATATAATTAACCCCAGATAATAAACAATCATAGAATATACTATATCATAAAACTGAATTTGCAAAATTGAAAGGAAAAGGAAGAGATTTACATTCTATTATGAGCTTTAATAAAAATGCTGCCACCAGAACCACCTCCACCTTTCATCCCACCATCAGCTCCATTCGCCAAAAGATCTGCCGAAACTTCAATAGAATCCACCACTTCCAACCATATTCTCCCACCTCCTTCCCCACCATAGCTTTCATTCTTAACAGTAGTCCCTCCCTTACTCCCATAACTCCAAGGCTCATCAAGCGTTGACCAAGAATAAGCATCACCACCCCAAACATCATCAGGAAGCTTAGTATTATCCGACACACAAGTAGCCCCTCTCCCACCATGTCCTCCACCCGCCCCCTGAGTCCCCGTCGGTGTCCCACTCGTCTGCGCGGGCGGCATACCAGCCAAACCACTAACATTAATCAACGATCCCTCAAACAAACTCGCATTCCGCGACGCAATCGAAACAGTTCCAGCAACTATAACCGAGCCATTCTGCAAACTAAAACCCTCACTCATATTAACCTTAATCACGCAACCTAAAACAAAGCAAGTCAAATTCACACCGGGAAGTATATTCAAACTCCCGTTCCCTTCTATATACACGTCACCGGAAAAGACTAAACTAGAATTAACATCGCACGAAGTGTTGAGCGAGCCAGTTCCGTTGAGACGTTCGCACGAAAGCGAAGGCGGATGCGGCTCCGGCGGCGGTGGAGGCGGTGACGGCGGTGTGTAGTCGCTGTAAAAGGAATTGAAATCGGAATCGATGATGGAAAAATCGTGGTGTGAATTTGAAGTAAGAGGAAAAAGAAGAAAGGAAAAAGTATAGTATAGAGTGAGAGAGAGGGTTTTGTGATTGTGAAGAGTGAAAGCCATTAAAAAAGAGGCAAAACTCAACGCAATCACGGAGAGATAAGGGTTTTGGAGATGAAAATCAGTTTTGGATTGCAGAGAGAGAAAATCGGTTTTGGGAACGCGGAAGAAGACGAAGTGTTTGTAGTATTGTTATATAGTGAAGAATGAGGGAAGAAAAAAAAGAGATAAAAATGGAAATAAACACAGAGAGAGAGAGAGGGGTGACTGCGTGCTGGGGAAGCAGGCATGCACGAACGGCACGTGCACATCCATTCTTCTTTCTTCGCTTGTTGGGTTTGTTGAACTTTTTTAAAAATGTATTTTTTTTTTTTTTTTGTAAAATTTTATGATAATGTTTTTTAATTTCTATGAAATTATTTTTGAGTTTTGTTTTCCATGATATATTTGGTTAACTATTTTTAAATTTGGAGGGATGATAGTGATATTTGACCCTTGATCTAGGCTTATGAGTTTTAATTAATTAATTTTATAAAAATTAAAATATATGAAAGTTGTTTTTTAAATCAGCAATAATTTATATTAATCAATAAAACAATGATGTATAAAATTGATTCTAAGGATCCAGACACTTAAAAACAACCTTAGTTAAGTATACTTATTGTTGTATCACAAAATTTGCTCTCTCATTTCTCAAGATATTTCCTACAAAGATCTTCAATGCCTCAAGTTGGCGCAAGTATCGACTAGGTCAAATAATCTCCTCATCACTAATGCCTCGAATTAGGGTTTGAGTTTGTACAAAGGCAGTTGGATTCATAATGTTTCAAATGGCTTTCATGGATCATCATGGACTCTCGAGATTATTTTTGTCAAGTTTCAAGTCTTGGATCACAATTTTCCAAAAAAGTCATTCAAATTACCAAAAGGGCAAAATTAGGGTTTTGATTGAAAATGACTGAACTTTGATTTTTGACCTAATACCTGGCTTATTGGTTGGAACATGATCTCAAGAATCTGAGCGCGTCATTTTGACCTAATTACATATTTCAATTCATCTCCTGAGATCAGTGGATTGATAGACAAAATTCGGTCAACTGGTGGAAAAAGTCAATTGTACACTAAAAAGTCAAACTTTGACTTTTTGACCAAAGTTGAGTCCCAAAAATCATATTTCATCAAGACATCCAAAATATGAAATTTGATCATCAAAAATCAAGAAAATCAAAAATCCAACTTTTGCAAGACTTGGAAATTTTTCTAAGTTAAGTTCATTACTTCATGACATCTTGTCACTACAATTCAAAATAGTTCAAGATGTTACAAATAATTCAAGTTATTACAAAGTGGCATTTTTGCAAGTTTACAAATCCTAAACTTTGTATTGCTTGGACTTTTTCCTTTGACTCAAAACCTTGCCACAATGCTTTGTCTTTGATACAATGTGCATAAATTGCTCTATAAACCAAACTTGTTTCATGCTGCAAACTATGTTGTCCAAGTTATTGTTGAACAAAAAATGATATGCTACTTCTATACATTGTCATAACACTCCAAAACCCTGCTCAATTGTTGTTCTACAAAACCTTGTGCTATGCTGCACCACAAACATATCACAAAACCTGCATATGTTGTCCTATACAATCCAAAATTTGTCCATAAAACCAGTCCAAAACTGCTCTATACAGTCTGCTCAAACCTGCATCATAACAGCCACAAAATTGCACCAAAATGGCAAAATAAAATTGTGTGGAAAAAATATCAAAACAGTAGGCAAAAACAGTTCAAAATAACTTATTTTGTTTCCCTCTTAAACCTCAGTCAATGATCTATAAAAGGGATTGTTTTATAAGACATAAGGGGGGTTTTTTTGGAGAGAAAAACAGAACTTTTGTTAAACTCTGCTCATTCATAAAAACCAGCTCATTCATAAAAACTATGCTCAACTTCAACTTTGTTTTCACTCACAAAACAGAAAAATCCTCAATCCATTGTTGTACAACCTTGCAAACTTTCCCCTAAATCAACTACCCAAACACCTCATATACATCACATAGAGATTGTTCTAACATAAGAACAGTTTCTGTAACACCTTTATCATCACCTTCCAAGCATAAACAAAAAAACAATACTTTGCATCTTTGACTGAGTTGGAGCGATTATGGTACTTTATCACACAGAGCAAGGATTAGAGTAGCTCCAAAGAGGAGCTCGGTCATTCGTCACTTTGCATCCGGAGATATCCATACGTGTTCCAAAGTTTCGCTTCAAGAGGTATACTTTTTTTCCAAACTATAATATCGTTTTCCATACATCATTTTCTGTTTGTGTTCAAAAGATATGTAAAAGATAAATCAAAAAAAGGAAAACTCAGTAAAAAAAGAGCTAAGACAGGGGCTGACACGAGTGCATGTGTCACACGATACGACCGTGTCAGCTCATCTATTTAAAAAAATCTAACAAAAATACAGGTCAGGGGCTGACACGGGTGCCCGTGCCACCGGACACGGCCATGTCAGACATACTGGAACTATACGCTAACAAAAATATAGGTCAGAGGCTGACACGGGTGCCTGTGTCATAGGACACGGCCCGTGTCAGCTTAGCTGATACAAAAAAGGAAAAACGTGCATGGACCATTACAGGAAGCTGACACGGGTGCCCGTGTCATAGGACACGGCCCGTGTCAGACCAGACAGCATAAATTTTGATTTTCTTTTGACCTTTTGCTTTTATTTTCATTCAATTTGGTTGTAATAATTAAGACTTTTATTTTTTGCAACCTCCACTTGCACACTTGTATACCCCATCCCTTAAAAAGCATGTAATAGCATAGGACCTTTATTTTCTGCATTTTTATAGCTTTTATAAATGTTAGTAATTAGGGTGTATGACAAGATAAAACTAATAAGTAGACCACCCTAATCAAATACTAAATGCATGCAATCAAACACACCATTCATACATGCACCTCTAGGATAATCTCACTTTATTGCCTCAGAAAATAGTCATGTACCTCGAATATGGGCGTTTTAGCAAAGACCCTCAGTAAAAGATCATAGTCCCTCGATGTCCCTTGATGTTGCCTTCAGTAAACGATCTAGTCCCTAAACGAAAATTGGTAAAATATCTCATAGGTTACCTTCTATGACTATAAAATTGACCCACGCTTGTCCCTTCACATCCAATGGTGGGGCTTCTTGCCAAAACAATGGTAAGATAGCAACATCTAAAGGAGGAGGAAAATAACACTAGACCTTTTGAGTAGGTAGGATGCTCCTAGTTGCTCGCTTGCTCACAACAAAAACATTTTATACACCAACACCTTCATTTGAAACATTTTCAAAAGGCAAAGCTTTTTGTATGCGTTCTTATAGAAACGAGAACCATTACAAAGACACTTTTCAAAATCACTTTCAAAAAAACATTCCACAAACACCTCTTTGAACTATTTTTAGAACTAACACTTTGTACGCGTTATTATAGAAACGAGAACCATTACAAAGACATTTTTTTCAAAATACTTTCAAAATCCACACCACAAGTACATTTTCAAATAAAAGCAAGTGATCTAGCAAGCAACTAAGAGCCCGTAGATAACTACGGATGAAAAGGATGTTAATACCTCCCCTTTTCATAACCTACCCCCCGAACTCAAGAAAATAATCTCAAAGGTCTTTCCTGTTCTTTTCACCCTTTTCTTATTGGATAAAAGAAAAGTCGGTGGCGACTCTTGCTATCCGCAACAATTACGATCAAACGCAAAACAACCAAGTCAGTTCTCCCACCGTATTACACTTATTAACATATATATTCAACTTATTATATAAACTTCATCTTATTTTGATATTATTGACTATATTATCTATGAGTTTGTTATCTAAATCCTTTTCGGAGAACACCATATCATTTATGTCCCGTCAAAGCTCATAAATAGTTCCCACAAGCGCAATTTTTAACATTTGTCTATTCAAATTTCTTTCCTTTGTTTTCTTGGTGATCTAATCCATCTCTATTGACCATTCTTTTGGTTTTCTTTCATATTGAAACCATTTGAGAACTTGCTGCCATATTTCATTTGTCTGCTTACACTCAAAAAACAAATGTTATATGGTTTGCATGTGATCACAAAAATAACAAATATGATCCACATTAATGCCAAATTTTGCTAGCCTATCTTTTGTGGGTAGTTTCTTCCACAACAACATCCAAAAAGTAAAAATTGTTCTAGGCATCGCACAGTTTTTTGTGAAGTCAGATTCTTCAATATTATGTTTTGAAGAAGACAACTACTATGTACATTTATTAAAGGATGAGAAAAAGCATCATGAAGCAATATGACTATGAATCAAGATTGCAACATTATGAAAACTTGCATTGATCTTAATTTATTGAGGTATAAGCATGCAATATATATTGATAAAATAGTGCTCAAAATAATCCCCAAAATTTACTTGCATGCATGGTTCATTTGGTTGAAAATATCTCGTTATTTCTAGCTTTAAAATAAAATATTTTTTATCATGTATTTGAAAATTTATTTTTCATGTTTGAACCATGTTAAATCACTTTCAAATATAATTTATTGACTTATATAAATCAATAGATGTTGTATAAGGTTAGTTCAAAAATTTAGATTTTTTTTCTTCAATTTTTTCACATTCAATTTTTGGTACATTATAGTGTTTTGACTCGCCGTAACAGCACAAAAACGACACAATTTACAAAGTTCTGAAACACTATTTTTAATTTTGAAATTCAAAAAATTGTTTTGCATTTGTTAAGTCAAGTATCCGTTAAAACTGACTTAACAAGTCATGTACGAATTTGAAAAAACAACAACTTTTTAAACACCCTTTCATGCTTCTTTTCATGAAACCTTTTCATTTTATCTTGGCATTTGTTTATGATATTTTTCTATGACTTCACCATGATTCATAAAAGTGTAATATTCATATAAATACATAAAATTTCAAATTATATTTAACCTCTTTCAATACAATTTAACATCATTGTTTACCATTCAAATTTCAAAATAAGTGTTTGTGTTCTTGAACTTTCAC